TTCCGATTTCAAAATTTTGATACACAAATAAGATTTTTTAAACTCTTATTTATTTCCGAAATACGCTATTTTTTTTTTTTTTTAATTCTGAAACCCCTTAATATATGTAATTGAAATGCTTAAAAATTCTTATTTCAAGTTCTAATATGTTTTTAAAAAATATTTGATAGATCTATAAGACTTATCCTTCTTAGTCGCTGCTTGTGGTATTCCCAAAAAAAATAATACCCACGATTAAATTCATATTTCTACTGGTCTATTTCTTGAATAAGACCCGGTTGTATAACTATATTGATTTACTACCTTTAGTATGATATATAGTATCCGTTTTTATATATTGCCATTCAATTTAAGATAGAGCTCTTAAATAAGACCCAATATACTGTAAGATTGGTCAATAGTAATTTCATTCATATAGATTCTTCCTTGACTATTTGTTTTCTTTGATTAGTCAACTAGTCAATTAACAATTAGTTAATATATTGTCTAATTAACCTATTGATCAATAAACTAATCAATTTATTTTATTAATTATCTAGAAACAAAAATGTATCCTGCAAAGACTTATTATAAAGAAAATCTTATCAAGATCGTATTTTTCACGTACTTTTCAAATTGTTTAATTTGATTTGATAAAACGTCTGAAAGTTAAGATTTCATATTTGGAATAAATTCCCATCTTTTTCCCAATGAGTCCTGCAGTAAATGAGTTTCTTTAATTAATGAATTTATAAAATTCGTTGCAGTTAAAATTTTAATACTTCCTTACTTTGTTTTGTACTTATTAGGATAACTCTGCGTTAGCAATTGTATAAACTTTTCATAGTAAAATTCATTTAACAATATAATATTTCAGGATCATGATTGAAGGTAATAGATAATAATGCTTGAGTTGATTTTATGATTCTAAAATATCAATACAATTTATTAATAATGGTACAATATAATAAGGCTATTATAAAGTGCAACAAATTAAACCAAGAGAAGGTTAGAAACAAAATATTAGATACAGTAATAAACTCACTGTTTAGATTATATAAGAAAATTCTGCAGCGACATTGGAAAAATCAGGATCAATTTTGAACCAATTTCTACGAAATAAAGCTTGGCGCTTTATTTACTAGCTACATAATGGATGACATCCGGTGCCTGAAATATAGTACTAGTATTGCCAAAACTCCATGATTCAGTAAGTTACTACTTTGAGTTTATACTGTTGAATAACAGCCTGCATTTGTGATTGTTCGAGCTGTTGTTATCAGTTATGTGAAGTTCACAGGTTCATCAGTTCGTATCCAATTCATAACTCCAACATAATCTCTATTAGGGTCAGAGGATTCTGATCACTCTGATTGAATTAAATAAGCCATACTAATACCATCAGATGATCTTAAAAGATTTTTGATATTCTGTGAATTATTAAGCCATTCATTTTCTGGAACGAAGATATCAGTCATACGAAGATTGTACATGGAAAGTCAACGAATAGATTATACCAAGTAAACTTTAGATAATGAAGGAATTGTGAATAATCAAAATGAAAATTTATTAATTACCTAGGTTTGCTTTCGCAGCATTGACGATTTTCATCGAGCAAAGTTGATCTGGCATAATACCTGAACTAGTCTTTGCACTATGTGCACCAACTGCTACAACTCCAAATACTCGAAATGTTGATAATGTCTCAGAATTAGCTAATTTTTTAATTAAATAAAAATTTATTCTTATATCAGATATGTCGTCTTTATCGTAAAAAATTACCAGCTTTGCATTAACAGTCCAGCTAAATTTTGGATGTTTTTGCACTTTGATCTCATTTAAGTTTTGACTCTACTACAGTAGATAGTGCTATGTGACTGACAGAGAACTTCAGTATGTATCGAGGAGCTCATCGAATAGTTTTTTATTATTAATCTTTGTTAGCTTTACAGTATCTATAAGGTCTATAAGTGTAGACAGTTCAAAATGACATTTAGCAAATATGAATTTCTTTTTCAAATTTTCCAATGTTTTATTTTTGATCGGTTTTTCAGAACGAATCAGAGATCTTTATTGATAATAACCGCGACGTACGGACTCATAAACTATAGAAATTAATAGGATCAGCGAACAACTTATAATATACTTCGCGATCATTATAAGTATTTGAATAGGAAGGATCAAAAAGTATATTTTCTTGGAGTTGAAAGGGAGATTACATTATTGGCCTTTATATATTACGGAGTAAGCCATAAAGATTAATGTAAAAACGGAAATTCCTGCATGCTTATTTGGCACGGAAAGTTCATTTTAAAATTTTTTGGACTTAGTTTATTAAAATAATACAGTTAAATGCTAATTTACTAGCAATACAAATCACTTGAAGTGATAAACTTTCTATTTGCGCTATACTATTACTATATTTGCCTTATTACTTAATTTTAAATTTATTACAATAAATTAGAGCTTCGATAATACTTTCCAGGACTATCCAGATTGAATTCGAATTCTTTTTCATGAATCTGGTTATAATTCGAATTGAGTAAATTCAAAATTGTTTCGAATTCAATTCGGAAAATCATTGATCTACCAATCAAAATTGCAAATTTTAATGCTGGTAGAATTTTTTTTTTAATATACATATTAATCTTATGTTATTATTATTACTAGATGTTAGACCCGTCATTAAACGACGGGTTAGATTTTAACGCCTATATTATCATACCATGCAGGATAAAGGTGAATAATCAGCGTTACCAAAACTTCCTTGCATAATACACGATATGTAAAGAAGACAGCAGTCATGTGGGTTTTAGCCAATCATCGGTGTAGCATAAGAACAATAATTACAGTAAATACAGTAAATAAAGCAAAATAATCATTCTAACAGATCTTTACAGTTAGTGTTAGGATGATATTCTAAAATCATTCTAACATCTCTTTATGGTTAGTATAGTTCCAATACCGATAATTCCATCATCCATATCTGAATTACTAGGATAATTCAGATCGCTCAGATATCCGGATAATACGAAAGGTGTTCGAATAATTATCTGGATATTAATATTAAACGAATATCTGAATAAATTCAGATCCGGATAAACGCTTAACAGATTGGAATTCTAATGGTTAGTGTTAGAATCGAATGTTGGTATTATAAATTCATTCTAACAGCTCTTTATGGTTAGTGTCAGGATGAGAAAATTCATATTTTGATTATGGATGTTTGAAGCGATGCTCTGGTTCGTTCCATAAGATTGGAATAATAATTCTACACCATTGACGATTTACAAGAGCACACGAAAGTAAATTTTTAGAATTATGCTTAAGGTTATTAAATACGATATAGTAGCATTCATGCGATAGTTTATTCATCTTGAAAAATGTAGAAATGTACGTATGAGAATTTTTACTCCTGATCTATACATAACAGAAATCAAAACAAATCCAAATATAGAAAGGATCGCTTACTATGAGATTGTTTTGAATGGAGAGAATTTTGAACGGATAGTAATGGTAATTGTCCTAAAGGATGGAAATAGAAGCGAAGAGATAACACTTATGTTTTCGACATAATGGATCGATCCACCTTTGTAGTGTATAAAGTTCTCACTTTTCGTTCAATAAAGTCCAGATTCGAATAAAGTCTAAATATCATATAGTCTGTATTAGTTAAAATCCTATCCTTGAGTAATTATATGTGAAATCTCATTGATTGTATTAATCTTTATTCTGTACTTACTCATGCCATTATTGTTGTTTAAGAATTTTTATGCGGTATAAACGTTGTAATTATTGTCACGTGCGTATATATGTTGCACGTCGCTTTACGATTCCTCTGAGTTTAAAATCAACACATGTTATTTTAAAATTTATACCGATTG